ACATATAGATAATCGTCCACAATTCTTACGAAATTATTAACATTGAATGGTTAGATTTCCAATGTTACAGATGAACATATTATATTTCTGTAAAATAGAGTTTATGTTTTTGCATCAAAAAAACAACAGAGGGCGGTTGCCTGCCTAATTATAATATTACCGATAGTAATGCGAAAAAAATTATGCCGTGTTGTCTAAAATAATCCTAAATATTAACTACATTAAACTGTCGACGAGTGTATAAATACTTATTAATAGTACTACAGTGGTTATTTTCTGTAAATCCGTCCTGAATAAAGCACAACTAATCCCGTAAACCCATAATTAGGGGAAAGGAACACAAGGCGTGGGAAAGTCCGAGCATTTTTTATCACACCGTAAGCCAAGGTTTCGACGTTAACCGTTAAGAACGCCGCCGACCGAATCACAACGCAAAAGGTTAGCAGATCAGTGACTAAAGTTCGGAATTTACTGCGTAAAATCACATAAACACAAAACACGACGCTGAATTTAAAAAAAAAAAAATTATTTTTGAAGTATAACTCTCGTTCAACAACATTTTATAGTCTTTGCCAAAACTTGGCTCGATAAATGTAACCAAATCATTTTGGAAAAATGATGAGCTCAAGAAAGAAAATCCCGAAAAGATCGCAAGCGAGGATGATTTATTTAAATTTTGTGGAATTCATTTTGACCTTTCAGGTTGCGAGTTGTGGGTCCAAGAAGGAAAGATCGACAAGATTAGCAGCATCTGCAAATTCGTCTACGACTTGGTTTGCGGATCCGAAAAGTATCAGATATACGACGAAGAACTGTGCGACGGTAAATAAATCGATTCAAGTGCCACCGTAACGTCTTCGTAATCAGTCATTTACGTTACACTAGGAACCTGAGACCCTGAATAGCGTTTACGCTCCTGCCTATAGAGTTGTCTGCGAGTACAAAAACAAAACAATAAGCAGAAATGGTTGGAAATAGGCAAGATGAGCTTGCTTTAATGCTTCAGTCCGCCCTTCCCAAATTGATACGTCACTGTTCCTAACAGAACTCACGAATTTAAAAAAAACGTTCTGACAAACTAATTAAGCACAATGCCGTTTTCTCGAGCATTTCTAAAGAACCATATAATTATTACTAAGCCTGTTTTTAATCTTATATATTTAAAATCATGTCGTACGTCAGTCTCCTGAAAATGGCGGCAATAAATTATTACGAAATGAAGCAGACAAACTATTATCAGGACCAAAAACAAAATGACCAGAAACAGCTGACAATAATCATTGCTCACTGGTTACACTGCTTCAGTCGGTCCTTCCTCTCTTTACTCGTCACAATATCTGACATAACTCTCGAATAAAAAGAAAACATTTATCTAATTGCTCATAAAGTCGTTTTACGCGACCTTCCGGAAAACCAAATAATCAGGGTGTCGAACCGAAATGTTTTTGGTTCCGGTTTTCGTTCCGGTTCAGGGCAAACGATTCAGCTCCGGTTCAACTCCGGAATGAAAAAATAAAGGTTCAAACCGGTTCGAACCGGTCCGTACTCATATGCTACAAAAACAATTGAGACAGCAAAAGATAAGCTATGCATATTTTATCAAACTGTTAGATATAAAAAAGCAAAGTCTCACATTACTGTGTGGAACGAACGAGCTAGTGCTGGGGCACCTCGGGACGTGCGTGAAAGCGCAGTTCGATCTCAGGCAGCTGACGGAAGAAGCACGACGTCGTCAAGCATATCCAGGGAAAGACAGCACCTCTGAGACGATAAAATGAACTTCAGTGCATAAAAGGCTCGCTCCACGCTGACCTGGGTCGCAGGCACTCCCAGGGCTACTTGCGCCATTGCGCAGATTTCTGGATGCATATGGCGCTCCCGTCTCTCCTCCCAAAACTGCAACACGTTAGCGTCCCTTGAAAGCCGCGGCTCCTTGTCTAGCATTTTCAGGAGGCATGCTATATCAAGAGGGCTACTGGTACCTCGAACGTGCACGCCAGATTCAACCTCTTTTTCCTTGAGGAGCGCTTTTAGGGCGCCTCCCGCATCTTCTGGAGCCGCTGCAGGTTGAGAAAACAAGGTAGAATCTTGCTCGCATGGCAAAGCTGTGATCCGCCTCCAAGTTTTAGTCAAATACAACGTGGCCCGGTACTTTTGCTCAGGAGTGAGAAGAAGGCGGTAGCAGGGATCTATGTACAGTGCTGCACAGAAGACATCCGTGTCAAGAAGTTGTCCCTCCCCCTTGTTCATTGACTGGACCGAGGCCTTTGCTAACGGCGACGATATCTTGGAAGTGTCCATGGAATATCTCAGCCATGCGCCGTAGAAATCTCCTACAGTGAGTTGTTCATTATGCAGTGGCTTCGTTGCCACTTCTGTTGGGCGAAGTGGTACTGCGAGCATGTCGACTTCCGCCTATACGTCTTCAGTCGACCTGGAGCTTACTTCTTTTGAGAGCAACCCTCCAGCGAAGGATCTTAATTAGTTCAAGTAGCCTGGTGAGCATATCATGTAGCGTTGACATCCACCGTGTTAAACAGTCAAGCATTGGTTTCTTCAATCATAGCTTCCTGATAAGAGAAATAACACATTCGACACGTAGTCTCTTAACAAGCGCAGGGCTTTCCCCGGTTCGCGCGAAACTAATTTTTTTTTCTTTTTTTTTTGAATTTTTTTAGGTTATTGCGTTTTTCGCTACGCACTTTTCACAAGATCTCATTTCACGTATGAACCGAAAACCGCATGGAAAACATATTGGTTCTGCTTCGGAGCGAAAAATAATATTTCGTTCCGGTTCAACTCCGGTTCGAGGGAAAATAACGGTTTTTTCTGGTTTTCGGTTCAAGGTTCGGGTTCGGTTCAATACCCTGCAAATAATTATTACTACTTCTGGTTGTATTCTTAGTTACATGATAATAATGTGAAATTCTGGTCTTTTAGGAATGGAATAATAAATTATAACAAAATAAACGTGTCATAAAAAAATTAAAAACATCTAAAGACCCAGTGTTGAATCTGCCCAACGCTAAAATGATAACCCCACACACAGACACGCACACACACGCACACTCTCTTCCTTTCTCCCTCCCTCTTATTTTTTCTTTCTCTCCATCTCTCTATTGCTCTCTTAAGGCTCCAGTTTAACGGCAAACGTCTTATATGATAATATTAAAAATAAATGATAAAATGAAAGCCGTTTACAACCTCCCCGTAACGCCGAATTGGAGCGCAGCTCTTGAGGAGGAGGAGGGAAGGGTATACCCCTCCTCCCTCCTCCTCCCTCTTGATCCCGCCTGCTAGTCCTCCTCCCCTAATCCTCCTCTTCCACCCCCGCTTCTCCTTCACCCCCCTCGTCCTTCAACCTCCTCCTCTCGCCTTCTCCTCCTCTCTCCTCCCCCTCCTCCTCCACCTCCCTCCTACTGCTGGGGGGTTACGTGACCTGGGGGTGTCGCGTGACTGGAGGGGAGGGGGAGTCACGTGACCCATTCTTGTCCAGCTCGCTTGCACCTTTGCACTTAATTGCATTAAAATCATGGCAAATGTCTTTGAACGCCAAAAAAAGCTGTGCATGTCACAGGCACGTAGCCAGGATTTTGTTTCGGGAAGGTGGGAAGGGAGGCATAACAAAATGACGTATGAGGGGGAGGGGGAGGAGGTCCCAGCAAAATGGAAGATTTTGGGAGGGGCCCGGGCCCCATTTCCCCCCCCCCCCCCCTCCCTGGCTACGTGCCTGGCATGTCACCTTTACAAGGAAGGTTTTACCGCCAGCATTTCGTTATTCGCTAAATGGACAAGTCCTAGGATCCCTTTACATCCGATCTGCGTTGGAATGTGCATGTTGACTGTATTAGGCCTCACGGATGTTAAGAACTGCCTCGGTCGCTTAGATGAACAATTTACTTTTCACACGTTCGTTCTATTCTGGAATATGCTTGCGTTGTCTGGGGCCCTCATGCCGCCGTTTCTATACGAACACGTGAAACAATACAAAATCTGGCTTTGAGGTTTGTTTTAAATATTTACAATTGACGACTAAGCTAAGTGGAAAGATAAGCTTAAGTGGCAATTATTAAAAGATCGCAGAAAGGTCCTCCGTCTCAATTTTTTTCACGATATTTATTATGGTAAACCGGTGTAGAAAAGGATAAATATATCAAAGAGCCTTTTTACGTATCCAGATCCGGTAGGAGCGACCATGCTTTCAAAATTAAATAAATTCCTTCAAGGGTGACGTGCTGCGACCCTGTTTTTTTGTAGAGACCGCGGTCGATTGGAACTCCCTTCCATTGCGCGCTGTCTCAATAGCTTCCAATGACGCCTTTCTTCACGCACTGAATGTGGGAGTTCTTTTTGGTGTGTCTGTATATTGTTTGACTCCCCCCCCCCCACTATGATGCCTGATGGCGAAGTGAGTACCTAGATAAAGATAAAAGATAAAGAAGGCCTACAGCACAGTTTTCCAAATTCCTTTGCTCTTCGATATAAACAAGACCTCGCGGGTCTTGTTTAATCTGTCCCGTTCTGTGGACAGGCTTCGCTACCACTTATAAACATTTAATTGAAAACGAAAAAAGGCATGACACCACCATGACCGTCCTTATATAACGCACCCTGCAACGCTATGCGCTATTATTTTGTACGCCACTATAAATATTCTTAGCCAAGCAGACCCTTCAGTGACGCTAAACGTATCTACGCAAACAATGACGTGTCTTCCCATGTTGCTGCTTTGTGTCTTTGACGCATTCTAAGATCAGCTCATAGCAGAACAACAGGAGAATAGCACTTCTTTTTTATTGTTGGTAACCTTTAAAGAGCGGAGTTCACTGATGTATTAAAGCTTTTTGAATCCGTATAAAAGTATTTTGACCTATGGTTCTAGCATACCTGAGAGTTTACCATTGTCTCACAACATACGTACAAGCAAGTTGCTATATAAAATCAACCAGTAAGCGACAAAATAGTTGAAAACCCACGAGCGGTAAGCCTAAGTATCAGGTACGATGCTGAGAATAGCGGTAGTTGCAGTTTTATGTTGCGTCGGAATCGGAGCAATATCTTCTTCGCAAAACACTACAAAGCATCGTTATCAAGAATTGAATCCTAATCTTTCAGCGTATCAAGATGCTTGGAAGGTAAGTGTACGTTCAGTATTTACTTTAGTAAAGTAAGCACGACGCAAAGTTTTCTTGCAGTCAAACACCGACAACGCGTCGTACGTGCTGGCGTATCGCACTTTCCAAGATCTTCCATGGATGCATATTCTGAGTTGCGTGACTGGAACATTAATAGCCAAACATAGCAACAACCGAACCGCAATACACCGGCTAGACTACTATAATACGAAAAAAGGAAAATGGTAATTTTTTTTATTTAGTGTATGCTAAGATTTTTTAAGGACAAATTAAAGACTGGAACATTCTTGTTGCAGGGAAGGTCATAAGGTGCTTACAAAGTTTAGTGCCACAAGAGGCTATAAAGTTCCTAACCTAATGCGCATATCATCATATGACAACAAAAGTAAGTAGGCAAAGGGCATCAATCTGAACAGTACCGATAGTTGAGGTCGCTTTAATAAATTTAAAAGAAAATTATGTTCAATATCTCGTCCGTAACCCTTTCAGCTGATCAAGGAAGGCTTTACTGGACCTTGTATTCTGAATACGGCTCTTGCAACATCGTCAGAGTTCCACGTAACCGCGGTAAGCGAAATCCTTTAAATGTGCTTTGAACACTGTCTTAACCTTGTAGAAACTGGGAAATAACATTCTGTAAACATTATAAACTAGAAAAATAGCAACATGCTACATCTGAATGCTCCTCACCTCCCCGAACCTCTTCCTTTCCTGACTCTATCATTTTATGTTTAATACACCGCTATCCAAAACGAACTGTCCTTTATGCAGTTAGATGCAACGAAAAACGTTTCCATCATCATCGAAAAAAGGCGAAACATAAGAAAATGAAAAAGCATGCGCCGACTTATATCTCGCATACGAATTATTTCACGTGTATGCCTATATTGATTCCTTACGTTTGTTTACCTTAATTTAAACGAAATCAAAAACCTTTCCGAATCAATACAAAATGGCTAATTGAAAATACCCAAAACAAGCAAACTGGGAATTAGTTGTCCTTTAAAAATATTTAGGATAAAGACAAGAAAAAAATAAAAAAGATATTCCGGTATAGTTTTCGCTTCGTTAGAGTTAATCACACTATGTTTCTTTTAATCGAACGTGAATCCCCGCTCAAAGGAACACGCAGCAGCCTAGTATCAAATGGATCTCACAATCAGCGTACCCCCAATAAAAGACCCTGCTCGCCTGATGTTTTTTGTTATTTGGACTTTTCCACCGGGTAAAAATAAAAACTGCGTCGTGTTTAAAAAAAAAAAAAAACTTGATTCTGTGCGTTAAGGTGCTTTCCAAGTTTGACGGAACGATGAACTGCAAATTAGTGTAAGATGATACAAACCGAAGCATCATTTCCTTCACTGCGAACCTAAAAAAAACACAGACCATAAAAAATTTACCTTTCGAAGTCCACTTTAGTCATGATCATATGTTTTCGATGCACTTCAGTGGCAATACATGTACTCGACGGCAAGATTTTTGAAACTTCTTTCCTTCTTCCTGTTTCTTTCTTGTTTACCGCATTTCTGTTTAATTTTACAATGATGAACTTACACCAGCTCGCTGGCGCCCTCGGGTTTTGTTAGATAAATCAGACTTCCTCTCAAACGTGTCTGACCTAAATCAATTGTACTGCTTGTTCCCTTTTTCTTCAATCCGCAATATGTTTTAGCAGTTCTTGAATGTAAATGCAGTGTGGTGCACACTGCATTTACATTCAAGAATTGCTAAAACATATTGCGGATTGAACATATTGTGGCAGCGAATGTGCCTTCTACTGCATCCGAATCGAGCCCGGTAACAACTGGAGAACAATTACAAATACTTTGGTGACTCGAGCAACAAACGATAATCGTCATACTGTTTCCTTTGTATTCAAACTACAGGCTGCGAGCTGTGGGTGAAGAAAGGCTTGCAAGACAACATATCAAGCTGCTGTTGGTTCATATATAAATCCTACTGTGGAAATGAGAACTACCAAGTTTACAATACCACGTACTGCGAACGCCAGGCATGCGAGTGATCGGTCAATATACGGTCCTTGATCCAAACCACCAATAAACACAACTTATATTGTAAACCCATCCTGCTTTTCTTGTGTTCATATGCATAAAATTACCATTGTGGGACTGATTTAGATCTGCGATCAAAACTAAGATATTTTGCATTATTTTTCTTTATTTTCCTTTCTTTTGAGCCCGTTTAAGACTGAATAATAGTAATTTCACTGAAGGGCGTAGTTGTTTATATCTTACTTTCCTGGATGACGAGTACGGCAATGTTGGAGCGCTTCAGTGAACCAAATAGTGCCATGGACTTTCCTTTCGTAAAATAAAAAATATATATATTGAATAACATTAAGGGCAGAATATGCACAGACAGACGGTGGACATCTCTGATATTATTAGTTCAGTACTTTTTATTATTATATCTTTCAAATTTGTGCGAATCTTTTGTTGCTGTTTTACTGATTTTTATTTTTTAAAAAAAGCATTGAAAGCTAGAGCGATGCGGCCTGTGCAGATGGGTTAAACTATGGGGGATATAATGCACTATAATAAGTGTCGCAATAACATAAATAACCAATAAAAATTGTTAAACCAGTACCTCATTAATCAAAAATAAACATATGGGTTCAATTAGAAACTTACTCAGCGTCATCGAAAGCCATTAAAGCACTAACTTTTAGACTGACTTGCAGCACGTGGTAAGATCTGCAGTGCGTTAGTGCTACCATTTGTGCTACAGGCGCAAGGCTCGCAGTGCGAAAACGCGGATGATAAGAGACTAAAAAATCGCGCGAGCGTGTCGAAGTGATTTGTATTTGTGGAACCAAGAAAAACAAAGGACGCGCACCTTATTTTTCCGTCATTCACTAATTTAGTGGCTCAGCAAGTTTCTAAGTTTCTGCATGTTCAATTTGGAACGTAGAGCGCTACCACGCCCATTGTTATACCAAAGAAAAACATGACATTGAGTGACCGTTTTCAAGCGGTGGTCATCTCCCCCACGGCACAGCTTAAGACCATTGAGAAAGCACTCAACCACATTACCTTGCATACCCCAGAGACTGTGGTGCTGGTCACCGATTCAAGAGCGGGCCTTCAGTGCCTAGCTAATCCTGACTCCATGGACAAAACGACGGCCACCGTACAACTTACGTTAAAGCAGTTGCACAATACTGTATTCAATATTGCGTTTCAATGTTTGCTTTCACATGTGGGCTTCTCGGCTCCAAAGAAGCTTTCCCTGCGTATACAAGAAAGTGAACAATCCTTCACAACATGGAGCGAGCTGCAAAAAAAAGTACCAGACCGGTTTCCTTCCGTGCACAGAAGGGGTCGTATATTCCTTTCCCCTCTCCTTTGGGAAACGATATATCGGACAGGCCGGGAAATGTTTAAACGATCGACTCTGTGAGCACAACAACATAACTAGAGCCAACTCAGGACATTTAGGTCTACATTAGCGTGATTGCGGATGTGCGGCAGATCTAGATAGATATACAGTGCTGGGTAGACGCAGTAGCGAACTGACTAGTGGAAGCGGATAATATATCCAGGTATGACGATATATCTATGAAAAAACGGTTAAAGTGCAGGCGAGCTGGTGTAAGTTATACATGATTGAAAACCTGAAACTGTGGTTTGAAAAACGGAAAATCGTGAAGTGGAAAGAAAGAGGGACGGACAACGTCTCAAAAGGGGACAGACAACGTGTCTTGAGACGTTGTCTGTCCCTTTTTCTTTCTACTTCACGATTTTCCGTTTTTCAAACCAGTCTCAGGTTTTCAATCATGTATAACTATCTATCTGTTAGCTCACTTTATCAGTAAAATAATTAGCTTATCTTTCCACTATAGAATAAGCACATATGACCGTCATTTCATGAGACCTTGAAGAAAAAGAAGCCAATTTTCACGAATGTATCAAAAAGGCCTAGAAGAAAAAGAAGTGCAAATATAGATTGATGTGTGAGTCAGCGCTGTGTGAGTGTTTTGTCTGCTGTGATTATATCACTATGTGTGATTGTTTGTGGTCAGTGTTGACTTGTGCTTGTGTGTACCTCCATACGTGTGCTGTTACTTTGAGACATGGAGAACCAACTCGCCCAAGCCGCCGTTTTGAGCTGAAGGTTTTCTTGGGTCATCTGTGCCATGAACGATGATCCGCGATTTGTAATTAGAGCTTGGGGAGCACGGAGCGCCGTGCCCGAGGGCGATGGGCTCGATGAAAAACTTTGCGACTTCAACAGCAGTCCCTGAAGGAATGTCTTTCGATTCTGCATACCGCGTAAATAATCTGTGGTGACGAATACCCAATGGTTTTCCAGGGTCGATTGTGAAAAAGGAACAAGTATATCCACTCCAATCTGTTGGAACGGTGCAGTTGGAGGAGGAATTGACTGCAGAAGACCCGCCGGCTTCGTCGGCGGTTTCTTCGTCGCTGGCACTCGTGGCATGACCAGGTGTAGAGGTGGGCGGTTTCGGGGAGCTTGGGCCAGTAATAGTTTTCACGAATACGGGCCAGTGTCCATCAGTAACGAAGACTCGCGCCGTCGCAGCATTTCCAGGGGCGACAGACAAGAAGTCCGTGCGAAGATTTCTGGGATGATGAGGCGACGCGTGACATTTTGGTGTCGCGTCGCCTCGTCGTCTGTCATTTTGCCCTCGATAACTGTTCAAGGGCAAAATATGTCGGCATGGTTTATTCAGTCGATAATGAAAAGTCAAATGTTGCTACGGGTGCAACCGGTACCTCATCTAGTACTCAAGGTTAAGACGGTGATAATTTTACATCGCACACTTAGCGTTAGTTTAAGAGTGTGAACCAGTCTCTCTTAAGACGTCTTTTTGTGATTAACGGATTTAATGACAAGTTTCTTGGTACTAGTCGTTCTGTACTTAAACACATTAAAATTAAAAACAAGAGGTGTGTCGAACCACAAAAAAAAATAGTTATGGTCAAATACAAACAAATATTTACCGGTTAGGCAAATGTCTTTTGCAGAGTTATTACTCATGCTTAAATAGTAAGGCAGGAAAAAGAGGTGTTCAGAACTACGAAGAAATGGCTCAGTCAGGTTTATTCGGACGAAATGAAGCTTTATTTTAGTCTAGTTGGTTAACATAATTTGGCAGTTTAAAAGCGCGACTTGAAACACGGATAAAATCCGAAACTCATACGTTTGCCGCAAGTGTTTCTTATTTCGTCCGTGTTTCAATTCGCACCTTTAGCCTTTTAAATGTTACTCCGACCTTTTCTGTTTACGAAGTTTACCGCCGCCACCGCGGCCATCTGTTTACAAAGTGAACAATATGACGTTTCCGCATTCTGCTGTTTTGTAACCTGGTCTATGCTCTTCTATTGACATTTCAATAAGTCTTACATTAGTTGCTCTTCCGCATTTCCTTGGATGAGGTGCGACGTGTGCAAGGCTGATAACATTTAGCAACTCAACGCGATCTATCTCGCGCTGAATAAAAAAAGATACCCTTTCAGAAGATCAGGATTTACTGCATAACAATAAATATGTTCTTACTGGTATTTTTAGTAGTGAATTTCATAATGGTGTAAACATTTCACAAATTGCGCGAGGCAATTGATACTTTAAAACATGGTGAAGGAGCAGATATACAAAATAATTCACCACATGCCACTTGACCCGCTGGTCTGACACGTAATTTTTCTTAGATCACTGACACAAAACGTGTTCAGGGTGCTCCCATTTAAAAATCTGTAAATTTCAAGTCGCGTGTTCATTTTATTTCCGTCTTGTTTTTTTTTTTGTTTTTTTTTTTTTACTAATTTCATGTTGTTGTTCTTTTTTTTTAGTTATTGTTCGGTTTTTGTTATGTTTAGTTAAACCGGCACTCTCAAGAACGGCTCTTTTAGGAGCTTAAAATAAACAAAAACAATGTCCGAAATATATTCCCTATTTAAAATTCCATCAAGCTACGTAATTTGGGACACTGACTGCCAGTCAGCAGCCTTGCTGGAACGTGATGGACCATCAGACGTCATCTGATGGTCCATCAGATGACGTCTCATGGTCCATCAGATGACGTCTGACTGCAACTGCCAAGGGAATTTCATCAACAAGGACAGCATTTATATACGAGTAAAGCTATACGCACTCATAAATATCGCCAAATGCCTCGATAAAACAAAATGTTCGAGAAAAAGAAAGAAAATAAAAGCAGTACGACCGCAGATCGAACCCGCGACCACTTGCGTACAAATCGGACACCTTAACCCCTATGCCAGGGGTGGCCAGGCTGACCCGGCCTAAGAACCGCAAACAAAACCGCGAAACTTCTAAGAGCCGCCGGGGGGGGGGGGGGGGGGGGGGGGGGGGGGGCAAACTTTTATTTGGAGGAATAAACGAAACTCAAACTACTTTCACTCTATCCGAGTCAAAAACAGTTCAACTGTACATAAGGTAGTAGTAGCACAAGACTGCCAAACTGCAGCCTGTTTTTCGATTTACAACGCATTCCATTTCTCTTCTTCATGAAGTGCTCATGTGACCGGGAGGGAGGCAGGGAAAAGGGGGGGGGGGGGGGGGGGGACGGATAGGTAAGCGAACCGCGAGTGACACTTTAACACTCAAAGAGCCGCATGTGGCTCGCGAGCCGCAGCTTGGCCACCCCTGCCCTATGTTATGCCATCTTTTTTTTCTTTATTTCCGACATTGACATAGTGCAACCAAGAAGTACAGTGCTGTAAAAATGCCGTCAATCGCTTACCGACTGACGTGGCATGGTTAAAAAAAAAAATTTACATTTAACAGTTTTTCCATTGTTGGTAACCACTCCGGGACATTTGATCGAACCTTCCAAACTTCGACAATAAAACGGACAGACTCGGAAAAATATTCCCCCACAAGCCTTGTGTCAACATCTGCATGGCGAACCGCCATGCGGCATCTCCATATGCTGTGAAGGCCGAGCAACATGAAAAGATCGAAAGGCTCACAATTCTCGTTTTCGACTGCTAGGAACCGTAGGCACATTGATACTTT